CTCTTAGCCCTTTTCCTCACCTTTCTGTCATGTGTTTTAAGATCTCATCCTGTAAGGATTTTCCTTAGTTTGAGAATATCCTTGTGCAGCAGCTGCACAGAAAATAAATGATAGCCATTGGGAGACCCAGGCCCAAGACCCAACTCTCAGGGCCAGCATGGTATCTTTCTGATGTAAGCCAGCTTGAAACACGGCTTGTCTGATCATGCAAAGGGAATAAGAGGTCCCTTATGCTGACAGCCTGCAGCATGGATGGCAGTACCAGGGAATGGCAGGGCACGATGTCACTGCCTGCCACAGGTGGGTGCAACTAGGAGAGGTTTAATAGCCCTTCCTCTACTGCAGGACACAGCCAAAAAGGCCATGACTGATGCAGTCAGAATGCTTTCTGGTCTGAACTACAGTGCCATGTCCTTTATCAGGGATGTGCATTCAAAGAAGACAGGAATATCCAAATGGCCATCCAGTCAAGCCATCTGTATTCCTACTGAGAGAGGCCTGTAGCAATGTTTGGGGGAAGTAGTATAAGCAATGACACAGACTTGCTTGTCCACAGCTTCTGTCAAGGAGTGGCTTAAGCCCTGTGCTATAGGCTGCATCTAGACCACTGTGTTTTACTAACCCTCTGAACTCACACAGTCCCCTTTTGGAACCACTCATCTGTCTGATCTCCAGAAGGTGCTAAGCAATGTATTCCATGCTGCAGTAATAATTTGTGTGGGAAAATTGCTTCCTTTTCTTAAATGCATGCTTTGCATGCACAGTGCTTAGCACAGGGAGCCCTAAGCCATCTGGGGCCATCTGCTGATAGTAAGGTGTTCCAGTACCCAGGATCACGTACAGATTCAACAGAGTGACTCAAATGTATCTGGAGACAAAACATCCATTTTGTCACTTAGATCTTCTCATATTGTGGTAATACTGGTTAATATAAGACGTGCTTGGAAGCATGTGGATGAAGACTTCAAGGTTATATCTGTAAACCATTTAGCTTCAGAGAATTTCAGGCCTTTGCAATTGCTTAATCCTGGTGTTTTATCACCTTATATCTTGGGATCTGTTTGTAGAGGTAGCAAGATGGAAGGTGAGTGGGTGGATTTCTAGCCTATAAAGAGATGATAGGGGGGTTTGTTCAGATCAAGTGCCCTTACCATTCTCCTCTGATACATACACAGTAGGGCAGTGGAGTAGCTGTTGTGTTTGGCTACATAAGGACAGATTATATTTCAGGAGATCTTTAATTAAAGACAACGAGTACAAATAAATTGGTTTGTATTTCACAGCTTTGCTTTAATTCTCCAAGGTTCTGTGATGAAATGTATAAACAGTGCAATGTCAGCAGACAGGTATTTCCCTCAGAGCTTACTCCAGTTCCCTATGGCATGACAGCTGCCTGAGCTATGTGCTGATATGGGTGAGGAACTTCACCTCCTGCACTGCACACCTTTGCTGGCTGCCACAGCCTGTGGGCCAGGCTCATCTGTAGAAGCCACAAAAGCAAAGCTGCACAGCCTCTCCCAGGTGAGTAGTGCCTCTGAGGAGTGTTAAGCCCTGGAAGCTGAGCAGTGCAGCTAAGCTGTGGCCATTACTTGTATGAATGTATAGCAAGTCACCTAGCTTTGTCCTGGCTGTGACAATGTCTTTTGAACAGCATAATGCTATTGACAATGGGGCAACAGTAAAATCCTTGCTCAGTTCTGGGAGAACGATTGAGGATGGAGAATGATTCTTGTTCAGTTCACTTGGTTTGTTACTGATGACGTGCTGCTCTTTCACTTTGTATTCTTATTAAGAAATTAAGACACTGGACTAGCTCTCAGGAGGGGCTAAGAACAGATCAGAGGGTTTCATCAAGGCTATATAGAAATGTTTTGTTTTTCTACACTGGCAAGTAAACCAGCCCAGGAGGAGCAGAGCTGTAGAGTCAGATAGTTACCAGTGAGGACCTGATGTTCACACCTCACAGGTTTCATGAGGGTTTATTTCAGACCACCATTAGTCCAGCTTTATAGTCTGTGAGCCACCTGCAATGGATCATCTAGGTTAGCTTCAGCCAAAAGCAATCTCCTTTGCCCACTGTGTGTGCCCAGTGCCATGAACCATTGCACAGTCGGTGGGGACAATCGGGAGTTTCATACTCCTGATTTGAACTAAGATGCTAATTTAGCCACACCAAATGTGGAATTAGGACAAGGCAAACATGAATGGGTAGTTGTTGCTGCATGCTGTGACCAAAGGATCATTTATGGTTCAGTCTACAGCATTCCTAAGAAAAATGAGCACCACGAGCACAGTGCGGCGGTTATTCATCCTAACCACCTCCCGAGCTCTGCTTCAGGACCTGCTGCTGTATGCACAGTGCAGTCAGTCTCCAAACAGCTGGCTACAGGCAAACATGGGACTACTTCTATACCTTTAAGAGTACTAGATAGCATGGAGTAAGAATAGAGCCCTCACAGCTTGGTATCTGAATATTCCTTTATCTTCAGATATTGCTGTGAGCCCAGTGTAACCTACAGAAGCAGTACAGGAGGAGTGATACTGCTTAAAAGTTTGGATTACATTTTATTGTGGAATTAGAAATGAGAGGTAAGTTGAAACAAAACAGCTGTCATAAGCACTGCCACAGCCTGGCCTTCATAAACTTACAGGGCTTTGACCAAAGGTCAGATTTGCCTCCTTTTGCTGCCTGTTACGCAAGAATGGTATCTGCTGGCTGGAAGTTGTTAATGAAGGACACAGCATGATCACAGGCTGCTGTGATAGTGTGAACACCCTTCAGGTGATTTCCTTGGCTTTGTGCAGCGGTGTAGGGACGTTGGTTACTCCTGAGTCTTCTTAAGGAAGAGTGAGCACACTACAGACACTGTACTGTCACAGAGAGCTTTGTGTCAGTGCGTCAGAACTATGTCTCCCAGCAGTCCATCAACTATCACATCAATACAGGCAATACTGAAGGTGTCAAACAGAAGGTAAGCGCAAATAAAATGACTACAGAGCTGTAGCAGGAAATTCATGAACTCATCTTGGCCTTCAGCACCATATGGTGGCTTGCAAATATATAAAAAAATATGGCTGACTTTTTTCCAAACAAGGCTTTTTCTGCAAATTGTGGTGATCCCTTGCTAGAGATCCTACATCTTCTAGACAGCTAAGGCTATGCTAAGTATGTCAAGCCTTTGTTTTTACTTCATACACACAATCACACTACTTCACAAGGACATATGGCTGAAAAACACTAAGCTGCTTGTCGGAAGGCTTTAAACTCTCCCTCATTGGCCTAGGGTTGAAATAGCCTGTCCCAAACTGGATGCTGTATTTGGAAGCCCCGAATTTTTGTTAAAAGTGAGCTTCTGCTTTCTGTCCCTAGGAGGGTTGCTGGCAGCAGTGTTTACCAGGGACCAGAAACTACAGCCTAGTGCTAGTAAGAGAGCCTTGTCTTCAATCCTACATAGCCCAGGGGTGAGAGAGGAAGAGCCAAAATCCCACAGTCTTAGAGAGCTCTTAAGGGCTTGATCTTGATCTTGTTTTATGCTGCCTTCCTCCATCTCTTGAAGAAACTGCACATTTCTACTCTAGGATAGATTTCATGTACTGGAGTTCTTCCCAGAGTTGGCACAGCTTCAAAGAGTTTTATCTTGGCTGTAGAACCCACATGCTGCTGCAAAGATCCCTAGGGAAAAGAGCTGGAAACAGACAAAAGAACAACAAAGCTACAGGGTCCTACAGGAGGCTGTATCCCACTGGGATGATTCCCCAAAAGTCAGTCATACAGGCAAATCCCTCTCTTCCTTCCCCATCCCCTGCTGGTCACCACAAAGCATTCTAGTCCTTGGGTTCTCTACAGGACCCATGACTTTCACAGCATGCTGTACTGTTTCCTTTGCTGGTAAGAGCTCTCCCAACAGATGCTGAGTTAGGGCCCCAGTAACTTCTCCTTAGTGAAATTTTCCTGTTTGTTGAAGGTCTCAGCAGAACCTTCATCTTGCCAGAGTCCTTCAGTCACTCACAGCAGCAAGCTGTTCAAGTGATCTCAACTATTGCCACTGTACAAAGAGCCCTGGAGATGAATGCTGAGTCCATTCACCCTTCTCTGTGCATTGATACTCTACTTCAGTACTCTTTCAAGCTTGGCCATAACCATTAGTTTCAGGCCACTAATTTATTACTGGGGTATGGGGTGGAGCACTTACCTCAGCAACACAGACACTGAGGACCCAGAACAGCATTGGACACAGCACTGAGGTATACACCTGTGTACCTACACAGCAGGTTGTTAAATTTCTACCTACTCTGCAGGTGCAAGGTTCAGAGGGTTCTGCCTGCACAAAAGAGAAAATACCCAAGAGACCTGAACATGTATAAACTGGTTGTTGTGGAATAACATTGGTCTTTAATCTCAAAAAAGCTTGAGTCTGTTTCTACTCAGATTGGGTTGTGAATTGTCAGCAAAAAGCTGATCAAGACCTGTGCTAAGGTTACCTGTGAAGTTTGTTATAGCACTGAGGAAGGCTGTTAGTTGGAAAAGGAAGTTCAGTTCCAAATCAGATACTGACTTTAACTCACAAGCCTGATCCTGCAAGCCTCACTCATTTAAGTGGCTGTCTTGCTTTCAGCAAGATTGGTCCAGCCAGCAGCTCTCAGTAGCTTGAGCCAAAAGCTCTTAGAGATAACTACATCCAGGCTGGAGGGGAAAGGGAGAAGACAGACATAGCAAAACTAATTCATTTTCCACAAGAAAGCAGTAATAAAAATGAGATAGTAACTGAACCTTGCCCTTAAGGTTAGTGAATAGCTACTAAATTAAAGGAAAGGCTACCATGTTTGGTAATAAATTGTGTCACACACTGCAGGCATCAGCAGCAGTTACTATGGACACAGCTTGCAACACAGAGATAGGCAGGAAAAGAGAGCTGGAACAAAGAAGAAACAGTAGAGCTAAAAAAGGGTTAACTGGGATTTTGAGAGATCACTGTCTAAAAACCTTATTCAGTATAGAGTCAGAAATCCTTGGTGCTCCGAAATTCTGGCATGCTCCAAACCCTTCTGGTGGGCTGTGTGCCCCGTTCCACATCCTCAGAGATGGTCTTGATATCACTGATGAATGGGGAAATCCTGGACCGAGATTTAAATGATGTTAAGGAGAGGCTGGTTCTGTTCTTTGTGTTCCATTGCCTGGCAAGCTTCTTGGCCTCTTCCTCCTCTTTGATCTTCTCAGCAGCTTCCTGCAGGACGGAGCGGAAGAGCCGGGATACTTCCTGCACTTCTGGTTCATATTCAGCAACGACTTGCCGGAATCTGAAAGCACAGTCAAGGCACAGCTTTGATTAAAAACATCAAATTACAGATTGCTGCCAAATTACTGTGCTAGGCTTGGAACTTGCACTTTCCTGCTAAATGGGACTCCCTGGACTGAAGGGAACAACAACAGGGAGCGGCCATGAAGATATGCTCAAGGTCTCTAAAATCACAAGCGAACCAGAGAATGTAAGGAAGCAGTGAATCACTGTTTCTTGTAAGCACAAGAAATAATGGGGAGAACCAAATAAATGTAAAGGTGGCAAGTTTGAAACAGAAGGAAGTGCTCTTTTCACACAACACCTATTAAACCAGAACTCCGTGCCAGGTACTTTGCAAATTTGTGGAAAATGTCCTCATCACTGCTGATTAAACATGATTGTCCAAATGCAAATCCTTGCTTGAGTAGTCCCTGAACTGCAGCTTACCAGAGGTTGAGGGTAGACGTGGGAAAGCCCCACTAGACTTGCCCTGTTTCAAATTCTTGTTCCCCATGGCATTACACAGTGGCCATTAGGCAAACAAATATCCAGTAAAACTCTTCTTTCTTTGGCAGTCATTTCATATTTAACTTTCATTGAAGTGGTGTTTCATCTTCCTAGGGATTTCTACAAGATAATGGACTGGCACAGCTGATAACACCTTGATTGGCAGCACAGTGCCATATCTAATTAGATAGCTGTGAATTACTTCAGTACTTTCTCAGCAAAGAGCTCAAAATGAGGGGGTTTTTACATTTATTAAGCTAACTTAATACCAGGGAAGTAAAGAATCACCACTATTTTTTTTGAAGGTGAGGAAGATGAGATATGGAGCAGGATAGTTTTTTGGAAGTCACTGAGGGGGCTACTGGCCATGGCAAGAAGAGTGCATGTCATTCCTGATGCCTTATGGGGTGATTTGGTGCCCAGCCTGGAGGGTGTGGGTTCCACTTCCAAGGCTCACACAGTGGTCATCTAGATATTCTAATTGTTCTGTACTAGTATGCATTTATGACAGATGGTAATATGGCTACTCCTCTAACAAATACTCACTTCTTAACATAAAAATTATACATACAAACAGACACAGAGCTAAACTAGTACTCCACTAAGATCCAGGTATTTGTACTTCCTGGAAGCTAAAGTGTATAAGGTCTGCAAGCATTTTGATATTTTTCTCCAACAGAACTGAACAAGGATGGAAAACAGTAGGACTGTATTGAAAGATGCCTAAATCATCAGAAGCTGATAGAGTAAGATATTGCCTCTTGATTTTTGATAAGCCCTAGGAATGTAACAAGGAGTTTAGTGCATATGGAATTGCACTGCTCAATGGTGTGCCAAAGGATACCCAAGATAATAAGGACATAGTGAGGCCAAACTGAATTGTGCAGAACCTATAAGGGCAAGAGAGTAGGTCTTGCTGAGGGTTAGCACACAGCAGCAGTTACAGGAATTTGCTGTATATTGCAAACTTGCTTTCTGCCTTCTGAGGAGGCTTTTCATAATAAATACATTTTTCCCTTATCCAATTAGAAGACAAGAAGACAGATAAGATGATAGAAACCCAAGTCTTTGCAACATTCTTATTATTACACCAGGGAAAGCACCATAAAAGAATTTATATTGCAGAGGTGAACTGAATTAGTCATTCCATTATTTTATCTCCACATGTATTTTAAAGAGAGGTCCTGTCATATTATATATATATATACACACACACCAGTATATCCTCCTATTTTGTATTGGCAATTGTGCACCCAAAAGGCCTCGTCACTGCCTCCAGTTTTAAAGGCTGTGTCATACTTCTAAATTGTGGCTCCAGAGCAGGCAGCAGCATGTGCCAGGCTGTTCCAGGACCAGTGACTGGGAACAAGAGGGAAAATGGGTGGTATGGCAACAAATTTACCCTCTGAGCACAGATCTCTAGGGCTAATGCTTTGTGTTGCTAATAACACTCCCAACCAATCTAGCAGAAATTGTTTTTCAAAAATCGGGGTAACTTTCCACCTTCACAGCTATCTGTGGTTTTGCACTCTCCTTAGCTAGAGCAGCAAGAGTTACTCCCAACCAATCTAGCAGAAATTGTTTTTCAAAAATCAGGGTAACTTTCCACCTTCACAACTATCTGTGGTTTTGCACTTTCCTTAGCTAGAGCAGCAAGAGTTATTTTGTGAACTCTGCTTTTGTTTTTAAGATTTACCTCTGACTTTTCAGTTCTAACACCAAGACTACTTCATATGGATTTGAGCAGGTCTAAGAAACAAAGGGAAATCTAGCAGAAATTGTTTTTCAAAAATCAGGGTAACTTTCCACCTTCACAACTATCTGTGGTTTTGCACTTTCCTTAGCTAGAGCAGCAAGAGTTATTTTGTGAACTCTGCTTTTGTTTTTAAGATTTACCTCTGACTTTTCAGTTCTAACACCAAGACTACTTCATATGGATTTGAGCAGGTCTAAGAAACAAAGGGAAATCAATCCAGAAGACTTGTCTGCCAGTCACCCAGTGAAAAGCCACTCTCATTCTGATGTAGCAGGGAAAAGGGATCCTTTTCTGCCCCCTAACAGAATGAACTAACTTTTCCCCTTTATTAATGCCCATATAACTTCAGTACCAACATGTTTATGTAAGGGACAGCCTATATAGGAAGTCCAAAAGGTGTGCATGCCACAAATATTTCTCAGCAGAAAAGAAGGACAGGTTATTAGGCCCGAGATCTAGCTAAATCAGGCTGTGCATTTAAAAATAGATGATGTTTGCTGCAGGTATCTGCACATAACCCAAGCCATCTTCCCCAGCTGTCAAGGAAAGCCAGTTATGTGCAGGATGATCCAGCAGTCTGCTCCCTACACAGAACACTCAGCGTATGAAAACAGTGAAACCACAGGAATGAAGGAATATGTATCTTGGGAAACAAACTCCACACAAAGCTGCTCAGTGGAATTAAGCACACAAAATTGCACAAGGCTCACCTAGCTTCTAGCACGGGTTAACGCCCTTATGCTTTTGCATGGAATAGTTTCAAACTAGGCAACTGCACAACCATATCTAGAAATACCTCAACAGGGTTTCCTTACCTATGCATCTTACTTGTGACACAAACTATGATGGTGCTGGTACCTGACCTGTGATGCATTATGCAAGTCACACAGGCTTAGACATGACTGTATAAGAACTCACCTTGAACCAGCACAGAAGGCTGGCGAGGATGGCATACTTTGAGATGAGCACATTCCCCAGCCCAGCCAGTGTTTTAACCACAGTTCTAACAAATCTGTTCTTTAAATGGTGGCCCTCCCCTTTCCTTATACAGCTGTAAGATTTTAAGAGTCTGCCTGTGCTTGGCTCCTACTGGCAGTGCTTTCTTTAAAGCACTGTCACCTGCCTGTTACTCTGTAGGTCTCCAGTGCAGAGGGTTCCCTAAGTACAGCCTGAACTTTAAAGACCTGTTAAATCCAATGGAAATCTCTGCACTTAAACAATATGCTTATAGTTCACTGTATTCCTGAGTGCCTGTCTGAACTGGGAGCTCTAAGTAGATTTAGTCATTCGAAGAAAACATGGGGTGCTTAGTGCTAATAATTAGCTGCTGACTCCTGTATCTATATGTGAAGCAGGAATTCTGGTTATAGTGTAATGCTGTGAACAGCTTTGCTAGAGAAGGCTCCTTGACTCCCAAAGAATTATGGCATTCACACTAATTGCATCACTCATGTCACATCCCCTCAAACTTAAGCTCATAATTGTAAATAAATCCATTTCTGATTTTACTCGTTTGTCTTACATTCAAGCATACTAGGAAAGCCAATTCGGCTATACAGAATCCTTAGAATACTACAGCTCTTAGCCTGTAGTATTAATAACAACTCAGATCACCAAAATGCAGGTTTACATTTCTGTATTAGGGGTTTTTTTGCTTCTCTCTGTGCAGAACCCCACTGTTTTGCTTTTGCTGAAAGGGAAAGAAGTCAAACCAGACCTTAGCTAGCTCTCATTAGAGCTAAAGCTCTGAGTAAAGGTGGCAAAATTGGAGCATTTTGTATTGACAACCTACTAGTCTATTTCATAGAATCATAAAATCATAGATTCAACCAGGTTGGAAGAGACCTCAAAGATCATCGAGTCCAATCCTACCGTGATTACTATGTGGCACTAAGTGCCACATCCAGTCTCATCTTAAAAACCTCCAAGGATGGTGAATCCACCACCTCCCTGGGCAGCACATTCCAATGTCTGACTACTCTCTCTGTAAAAAATCTCTTCCTAATATCCAACCTAAACCTCCCCTGGCAGAGCTTGAGTCTGTGCCCTCTTGTCCTGCTGCTGGTTGCCTGGGAGGAGAGACCAACCCCCACCTGACTCCAACCTCCTGTCAGGGAGTTGTAGAGGGTGATAAGGTCTCCCCTGAGCCTCCTCTTCTCCAGGCTGAACACCCCCAGCTCCCTCAGCCTCTCCTCATGGCACTTGTGCTCGAGTCCCTTCACCAGCCTTGTTGCTGTTGTTCAGTTTAACCACAACAGCTAGGTATTTAGTACCTCACCAAAATCATTGTCATTTCCTTCAAATTTAATTTTAAATAGTCGGTGATCTCCAACCCGGTAAACTAAAGCTTAGTTACACCTGAGCACAATAGCTTTATTTGCATGAGGTGAATCAGAGTCTCCAGATATCTGATGGTGTTTGCAGTGTATTTGAGTCTTTCCAGAATTACAAGAGTCTCAAAGAGAAGTTTTTATTACCTGAAATACAAAACAGGCAAAATGGTTCTGGGGAAAAAAACCCACCTCATTTGTGAAGTGCTCCCTTCCAGCCTCCTCCATGTCTAAAGAAACAAATTTGTAGACACATTGCCTCTCAGTAGATGAGACTGTGGCCACAACAAAGAACAATTTGGATAATCATTTAGACCTTTGGGGAATGAAGTGACATCTCTGACAACTCATACAAAAACGTTTTGTTCTGGCTTTGACTCTGAACTAAGAGTCTCACAAAGGAGACCTTGCATGACACAAACAAAACAAACTGCAGTCATGCAAGTTGCATGCCACTTGTGTTTTTAAGTATTATGTGCCTGTTGAGTGCATCAAAAAGGAATTCAGCTCTTCAAATGTCTAAAACAGAAGGGAAAGGATCAAGTTCACTATTCCAGTCAGAACCAAGGATGTCATCAGGGTACATGCTCTGCACTTGAATTTCCAAATGCAAGCTCCTAGACCTATTTTTGGTGGTAGATTTTGCTAGAAGTTGCTATATAGGAAGTCACAGAGCATTTAAGAGGAAACGTCAGCAGTGCAATGATCTTGTTATTGAAGTACTTCACTGGAAAAATGGAGATTTCAGTTGAATTTGTGTTATACTCATCTTGTGGAATTTCGGGGAAGTTACTAAAATCCCCAGTTTATCTCACTTTCTGAGAAGATAATTTATCCAATTTTGTGTGTCTTTCAGTTAAATTGCGTGCTCCTTCTTTCTCCTGTACATTTTCAGCTCCTGACGTGGCAAGCCCCTTTCTTTTTCTTTGTTTCCATGTCAGCAGTGAAGATTTCACGGAATCACAGAGCTCTCAGTTCAAAGGTTGAAAAGGAGTCAGCTGTTTACGTTTCCAACACAAGTTGAAAGGATTATTGAATAAAATTAGTAGATATTAGTTTAAGACAAGCAAAATGCAGTTTTTTACAGCAGAGTTGTAGTTCAGGAGTAGAACTCTGCTTACGAGTGCCACAAATGCTAAAAGTTTACATGTGTTCAGAAAGAGAAAAGTCCCCCAGAACCTAAACTTCTAACAGAAGCAGCCACATCAGCCAATTATGGACAGATGATTCACTGCTGGCTCCAAAAGTCCCCAAGTTACAAGGCACAGTAAGTTGGGTGCTACATATAAGGTATTGTAATTGTCCACTCTTGTATTTGCTTGCCTTGTTCTTTGCTCTTTTCATTACAGTGATGCCATTCTCACATAGAGACTGAACATCAGATCAGTCAGACCTTGGACCCAATCCAGTTTCCTCATTTTTGTGTCTATGACATTCTCTTCTCAGTCATGTAATTGAACCAGCAAAGGTCACGCAAGCCTCATTTTTTTAAATCCTGCTCTGCTAACCATGCAAGCTCTGCAGTATAGAACAAACAAAAACATGCCACTTCTGGAGTCATACTGTGATACAAATTCTGATGGCCTACAGTAGTAACTTGTAAGAGGAGTTTTAAGAGGATAGTTTTAGCCTTTTTCAATCATGCCCACACAGAGCACACCAATGTTGCTGAGCACGTTTATCTACTGACAGCAGTAAGCTGAATCCTGAACAACCGTGAACCGCTACAAGCTGCACTGCAATCACATATCTTGCATGACCTATGTCAGTTCAAAACAAACAAAAAAAACAAAATAGCAGAGCAGCACCAGGTTGCATATGACTGAGCTTAATACTTTTCTAAAGTATGAACTTTTCTGAAGTATGAACCCTGGAGCCTCCCAGCTCCAGGGACTGAAACCTGCTCTCATGGAAATGACCTGTTTGTCAGACAGGCCTTGCTCAGTGGCCCTGGGGATGGTGAAAATAACTCTGAAGCCCAAGGTGTTTGAAGTGGCTTGTTTACAGCATAACTTGGAGTTATACACATACAAAGCAGGTGCTGTTCCCAGCAAACTCTGACTACTGACCAGTTTGACAACTTGGCCACTGAATGATCCCAAATTTCCAATTCTGCCACCATGGCAACCTTTGCAAGAGCCAAAGCCCTGTGCCAGCTTGCTTCCAAGGTTAAGCCTCAGGGAAGATGAGGGCTAGAGAGATAGCTTTGACATACTTTCCTGGCTACACCCATGCAAGACAGAGGACCAGCTGTAGTTCAGGAGCTGTAGATTCATTTGTTCAAGGGACAATAGGTGCCAGCATATGCAGTGAGGGACTGCAGGGTGCTGAGAACTCAGTTGTTCCTGGCCTGCAAGGACTGTCTTCTCTCTAATCCCAACTGCAGTACATGTTAGAATAGGGGAAGTGGATTATAAAGGCCAATTTCACAACTTCACTTTGGCTAAGGTGAGCTTCGGAGTCATTATTCCTCCCCTGCACTGTGCTAAGTGTGAGGGTTTAATTTAGGAAAAGAGCCACATTCCTCCATTCCAGTTTGGATGATACAGCAGACTTAGATCAATTTCCAAAGGCGTTTTCACAGAAGGTTACTCAGCTGGCAAGCAGCAATCCTATGTCTAGCACTTGAAAGGCTCAACAGCAAGTCCAAGAGGCTGTGTCTACATGTACACTGCAGAAGGCAGAAGCACCACTTAGCTCTTCAAGCCAACTATATGCTCCACCTGCATCCTACTCCGTATCAAGGGTGTGGAGGGAGGGCAAGGGAGGGAGATGCATGCAGTCCCTACTTTCTCTGGCAATACCTGGCTTACAGGCTGGAAAAAAATAATAGCACCTTTTGGCTAGTTTGAACACTGCCTCAATAGACCTGCTGGATAGCTTAAATCAAGGAGTGAAGGCTCCAATGAGAGTGGATAAACACCCAAGGAGGTTGTTCAGAGGCTATATAATCTCCACCCTCAGATATTTAACAATAGACAGGACAAGGCACTTTGAAGTTGGCCCTACTCTGAGGAGGAGGTCAAAGTACTCACCTCCAGAGGTCCTTTTAAGCCTCAATTTCTCTAAGATTCTAAAGTCTGAAGCAAAAGCCATCACAATACTGAAACAGTAACTGTTCATTGAGCAAGATAAAGCTGCTCTGGCTATTCAGGAGCATAAAGTACTTAAGCCAATCTCAGAGGGAAGTGGCATTTAGTAATTTCTTGGAGGAAATGATGTCACGTTAAACTGACTTAAAACATTAGATTTCCCTTCTTCCACAAAGACACTGTCCCAGCATGACATGATCCAGGATGTCAAATTTTGGTTCTGTTGGTCCTAGCAACTCTCACTCCTTGCCTATCATAAAGAGGAGAGGGGGAAAGGTCTGTATCACCACATTTTTTCCTGTACCTGAGTATGACAGGCCCACAGTAGGAAGGATGTATTCTGGTACACATATCCTCCAGCTGCAGCCGTTCTCCTGGGCTGATGTCATAGCTCTGCTTTGGCTGGCTGATGAGCCAGCCGTAGTCCACCCCAGTCTTGATCTTGCGATACTCATTCTCCCGCTCTCGCTGCTGCTTCTCTGCTTGCTTGATCTGCCAGGTCAGCTCCATCATTAGTGTTTCAACCACCATTTCTGTGGGATTCCTCTGGGAAATGCGGTTTGGGGGGTCATTCCACCTGAACCAGGATGCCAGTGACATGGTGCTCTGTGTGTCTTCACTGGAAGCGAGTTGAGGGAAGGGAGGGAGAGAAAAAGAATAGTACCATCATAAACACACCTCAGCCAAGAACATTCTGCCCCACACACATCTGCCCTCTAGTCTGTTGTTCATATAAAACTCTTACTGGTTTAGCCACTTGGAACTAGTTGATGTTGAGCACCTCAAGAAACCTTACCCATAACAGCCAACTTGGGCAGAGGGTGAGACAAAGGATGAAGAGGCACAGTCTCCCTTAACTTCCAGTCACTGTGTAATTAAAATGAGTCACAGTCCTTACATCTTAAGTCAGGTTACAAGGATACCTTGCTCCCTACAAGTTAGGCTGGGGAAGCATAGTCCTACCTACACAGAAGAGTTGGGGTTAGGCTCACCTGTGTGAACCCTCATGGGAGGCCACAAACTTGCAGAATCCTAACATGTAGAAACTCAATGCATGGAGTCAAACTATCCGGGAGATCCCTAGGGAGGAGGCACAATAGGTGACCTGGTATGGTGGGTTAACCCTTGTGTCCACCAAGTGCCCACCAAAGCTGCTTTATCACTCCCCTCAGCAGGACAGGGGAGAGAAAATACATCAAAAGGCTCATGGGTCAAGATAAGGACAGGGAGAGACCACTCAGCAGTTACCATCATGAGCAAAACAGACTTGACTTGGGTAAATTAGTTTATTACTAATGAAATCACAGTAAGATAATGCAAAATAAACCCAGATCTTAAAACACTGTCCCACCACCCCTTTCTTCTTCCTGGGCTCTACTTTACTCCTGAATTCTCTACCTTCTCCCACCCAGCAGCATAGGGGGACAGGTAATAGGGGTTGTGGTCAGTTCACCACACATTTCTGACGCTGCTTCCTCCTCAGAGGGAGGATTCCTCACACTCTTCCTCTGCTCCAGCATGGGGTCCCTCCCATGGGAGACAGTCCTCCATGAAATTCCCCAATGTGAGTCTTTCCCTCTGGGGCTACAGTTCTTCATGAACTGCTCCAGCATGGGTTACTTCCACAGGGGACAGTTGTTCAGGAATGGTCTGTTCCAGTGTGGGTGCCCCACAGGGTCACAAGTCCTGCCAGAAAACCTGTTCCAGCTCTCCCCACAGGGCCACAGGTGCTGCCAGGAGCCTGCTCCAGCCTGGGCTTCCCGTGGGGTCACGTTCTCCTTTGGACATCCACCTGCTCTGGTGTGTGATCCCCCACGGGATGCAGGTGGATATCAGCTCCATTGTGGACCTCTGTGGGCTGCAGAGGGACATTCTGCCTCACCATGGTCTTTACCATGGGCTGCAGGGAAATCCCAGCTGTACTGCCTGAAGCACCTCTTCCCCCTCCTGCACTGACCTTGGGGTCTGCAGAGCTGTTGCTACTCCCATATTCTTATTCCTGTCTCCCAGCTGCTATTGTTCTTTTCCCCCTCCCCCCAAATGTGTTATCCCAGAGGTGCTACCACCTGGGCTAAAGGGCTCAGCCTTGGCCAGTGGTCAGTCCACCCTGGAACTGGTTGGTGTTGGCTTTGTCAGACACAGGGGAAGCTGCTAGCAGCTTTTCACAGAAGCCACTCCTGTAGCCCCCTTACTACCAGAATCTTGCCACACAAACCAAATACACCTGGGTAGGTTTGCTGCTGCTACTGTAACATGGTGGAGCTCACCCATATTTGAGTAGTACTCACAGGAGCATTAGCTACAAAGCCAGGCTGAGCTTTAATCATTGCTTAGCGAGTGTGTTGTTGCATGCAGACGTGGCTACACCATCTTCTACAGGCTCAAGTCCAGCTACTAGCTTTGCTGCAAGAGCAATCCTTCAGCACTGCCACAAGTGCCAAGGGAACTGAGGTTGGGCTGAGAGCACACCAAGGTTTAAACTGTTATTACTTCTAAGCAAGAGGTTTCTACTGCTGGGGAGTTACCTAGCACTTAGAAGGCAGAACAAACTGCATCAATCAGCTCAGCAAAAGATGGAATTAACTCCCCACCCAGCCAATCCCTTCATGTTGTCACTTCAGGAGGACAGTGCATGGAAAAAGTTATTACCTATTGTACTTGTATTTAAACACAATGGAATCCAAAACAGGCACTAGGGACCTGAACAGGAGCAAAACAGCATCTGTTTCTTCACACAGTGCACTTACGTGCCTTGCTGCTACCTTTCATTAGTCCCCAGGGAGAAGGGGTGGCACAAATAATGATTGCAGCTGGGATTACAGAAAGGCTACTCCTGGCAGCAGCCCAATCAGGACATGGCGTCAAAAGTTAACATGAGGGCAATGGATTAAAGAGTCTGATTCTGCAGGGCCTGAGCAAATCCTCACTGTTGAGACACAGCCATGAAGAGAGGCATGAAAGGGAGAAAAATGTGCTTTTGATTTGAGCTTGCACACTGGGAAGGAAAACCATCTCCATCTGCATCAGGTGAGAAGGATCCTTCAGTTGCTTTCATGCCTTTATCACTTGTCATAATGTAGCCTTGTTCTCTTTCAAAAATGTTCATACTATGTAAATATGTCACACCATTAAAGGAAAATACTCCAAAAACCTGGATAGTTTGTACAGTGTCCCAAGTTTGAAATTATTTCAGGCTTTTCTCGAATCAGGAAGATTGCCAAACTGCATCAAAGGACTAGTTTCTCTAGTCCTAATATCCTACCTCTCCCAGCAAGCAATACCAGTTTCTTCAGAAGGAAGACATAAAAGAGCTGAAAACTTCCACAGGTCACAGATCTAGCTACCTCAGTGTGTAAGGCCCCGGGTACTCTTCTGGGGCTGTAAAAACATTAACACCTTTGCTCGTTTACAGTGCTTATACATGAGAGATCACTGTAGTGACTGTTTTTGCCCTGAAGCATCAGCTACGATTATCCTTATGACAGCAGTCACAGTCAGCAGCTGCTGCAGTAATCCTGCTCCTGTCTCATTTCTGTGCTCTGGAGGAGGAGGAGCAGCTGGTCCTTTCATTTAGCCAGGGTGACTCCAGCTAATAGCTCTCAAATCACCACACAGTGCTCAGACTGTCTGCCGCTGACTGACTTGCCCAAGACACATGAACAAACTCAGGTGGGAAATGATGTGCTGACAGCTTCAAGTCTATGATCCCAACATTCCAACATGCACCCGAATCTTGCTACATGTTGGCCTCCACTCACTGTTACACATTGTTAAGGATGAAGATCTTTGAAACTGACGACCTCTTCCTTGCTCTTATCACCCCTTGTGTATCATCACATCAGTGATCCCTGCTCACAAAATTTATGAGCTTGACAGACCACAGGCTGTTGTAAATGATTTAAAGTTTCCTGTTTCTTTTCAGCTTATGTGATGACAGCAATTTTTTGTAGGCTTTTACAGGTACCTGACCAATTAAAGTACCATTATTATTTCCATTTGTACCTTCACCTGATGAAGGTGAGCATGCCCTGCCGTATTTTACCAGCAAAGCTTACTTTGTGCTTATGCTGGCTATGATCTGGTCTCACACTGGTTTAACTCTGCTGACTTCAGTGGCATTAGGGGTAAATCTGTATACAGCAGTACCACTGTGAAGCTGAAGAATGCCCTTCCAGCTATTCCTAGCTCACCAGCTGTTTCATTAGAAGAGGAGCAAGAGAGGAATTTAGTGGTCAGACTGGGAAAGAGAGCAAGTAGACCTGGGTTTTAGTTTGACTTCCCTGACCTTCACATGATTCTGGGCTGATCCTAACACCTTTATGGTTTTTTTCTCACAGGTCTCCCTCAAAGTAAGGCATTCTGCGTGAGTAGAACCATTTTACCTCGCACTAATATTGCAGAGGATAATCAGGTAGAAAAATATTTT